AAACCACATACACCTACCAGGGGAGGAGGGGAATCCAAAGTCACATATACCTACCACAGGAGGGAGGGAGTCCGAAGTCACATACACCTACCACAGGAGGGAGTGAGTCCAAAGTCACATACACCTAACACAGGAGGGAGGGAGTCCAAAGTCACATACACCCACACAGGAGGGAGGGAGTTCAAAGTCACATATACCTACCACAGGAGGGAGTGAGTCCAAAGTCACATACACCTAACACAGGAGGGAGGGAGTCCAAAGTCACATACACCCACACAGGAGGGAGGGAGTTTGAAGTCACACACACCTACCACAGGAGGAAGGGAGCCAGTAGTAACATAAACTTAACGGGGGAGGGAGGGAGTCCAAAGTCACATACACCTACAACAGGAGGGAGGGAGTCCGAAGTCACCAGCAGAGGGAGGGGCCAGTAGTCCAGTACCATGCCTGCTTCCTCACAGTTCTTCAATAAAGCATTTTGTTGCGAACTTTTCACACTGTGTGGCACCATTGAAAGCAGTAAGGCTGTTTAGATGGCAGCTTTGTAGTCGTGTAGGAATTCAAGCCATGCCAAGAAGGAGGCAAACATTTGACAGATTATCTTTGAAATAAGGATTTTATTTGCAGTTAAAATGTTTTACTGGAATCGAGGGATCTGCAAAACACATCTAACTTTTGAACGAGTTTTAAGTAAGATCTATAGGGGTCAATGGTCTCGAGAGATTGAAGATGGAGATGAAGGAGTAGATGTGTTTGTATATTAAACATGGATCAGGGGAGATTTTAACTTTTTAACAATATAAATAATGTTCCAAAAAAATGTATTTGATGTATGTTCACTATAAGATGCCCTGTCCTCACGGCCAATAGAGCTCAAGGTATGGCAAATAGCTTTGTGTCCTTTAAACATAGCCTCATGTTGTTAAGGAACTCTTTTTTGTATACTATATATGCAATTAAATCTTCAAATTCTTACTTAATTTTTTTCAAAGCCTTATTTCAAAGTTAAATGTAAGTATAAGTTATACTAAATTATCTGCAGATTATCAATCTGAAGAATCACCTATAAAACAGCTGTCGATCAACATAGGTTATGACGAACTGAAAACAGCAATGACAGGGGTCAGTTGAACTAGTTCTACACTGTGTTGTCAATAGTTACCATCACTCTTTAGGAGGTGTGGTGTAACATGTACATACAGTATGGTTAGTATACATATTGAGCCATGTATGGTTAGCTTGATATTTTATGAAAGATGTTTCAGAGATGAAAGTGTATGTGATAAACAGATTAATAACCTATGTATACAGATGGCCTTCTTAACTCCAGATCAGTTAACTGCATACATGGTTATGTATATAGCAATCCTATGTACTGTGATTTACATGTATGGTCAACTTGACAAGGTATTCTAAAGTATGCAACGAGAAATTATTTGCATGGTCAGCTTGACTAGGTATACTAAAGCACACTATGACAAATTATAAGATAAACCATACATGTATGGTCAGCTTAATCAGATATACTATAGTACACAAAGACAAACTATAACTAAGTTACAATGTACATGTATGGTCAGCTTGACCAGGTATACTATAATACAATGAGAGACTGTTATATACAATGTACATGTATGGTCAGCTTGACCAGGTATACTGTAATACAATGAGAGACTGTTAGATACACTGTTCATGCATGGTCAGCTTGACCAGGTATACTATAGTACACTAAGAGACTGTTAGATACACTGTACATGTATAGTCAGCTTGACCAGGTTTACTGTAATACAATGAGAGACTGTTAGATACACTGTTCATGCATGGTCAGCTTGACCAGGTATACTATAGTTCAATAAGAGACTGTTAGATACACTGTACATGTATAGTCAGCTTGACCAGGTATACTGTAATACAATGAGAGACTGTTAGATACACTGTTCATGCATGGTCAGCTTGACCAGGTATACTATAGCACAATAAGAGACTGTTAGATACACTGTACATGTATAGTCAGCTTGACCAGGTATACTGTAATACAATGAGAGACTGTTAGATACACTGTTCATGCATGGTCAGCTTGACCAGGTATACTATAGCACAATAAGAGACTGTTAGATACACTGTACATGTATAGTCAGCTTGACCAGGTATACTGTAATACAATGAGAGACTGTTAGATACACTGTTCATGCATGGTCAGCTTGACCAGGTATACTATAGCACAATAAGAGACTGTTAGATACACTGTACATGTATAGTCAGCTTGACCAGGTATACTGTAATACAATGAGAGACTGTTAGATACACTGTTCATGCATGGTCAGCTTGACCAGGTATACTATAGTACAATAAGAGACTGTTAGATACACTGTACATGTATAGTCAGCTTGACCAGGTTTACTGTAATACAATGAGAGACTGTTAGATACACTGTTCATGCATGGTCAGCTTGACCAGGTATACTATAGTTCAATAAGAGACTGTTAGATACACTGTACATGTATAGTCAGCTTGACCAGGTATACTGTAATACAATGAGAGACTGTTAGATACACTGTTCATGCATGGTCAGCTTGACCAGGTATACTATAGTACAATAAGAGACTGTTAGATACACTGTACATGTATAGTCAGCTTGACCAGGTATACTGTAATACAATGAGAGACTGTTAGATACACTGTTCATGCATGGTCAGCTTGACCAGGTATACTATAGTACAATAAGAGACTGTTAGATACACTGTACATGTATAGTCAGCTTGACCAGGTATACTGTAATACAATGAGAGACTGTTAGATACACTGTTCATGCATGGTCAGCTTGACCAGGTATACTATAGTACAATAAGAGACTGTTAGATACACTGTACATGTATAGTCAGCTTGACCAGGTATACTGTAATACAATGAGAGACTGTTAGATACACTGTTCATGCATGGTCAGCTTGACCAGGTATACTATAGTACAATGAGAGACTGTTAGATACACTGTACATGTATAGTCAGCTTGACCAGGTATACTGTAATACAATGAGAGACTGTTTGATACAATGTACATGTATGGTCAGCTTGACTAGGTATACTATAGTACAATAAGAGACTGTTAGATACACTGTACATGTATAGTCAGCTTGACCAGGTATACTGTAATACAATGAGAGACTGTTTGATACAATGTACATGTATGGTCAGCTTGACTAGGTATACTATAGTACAATAAGAGACTGTTAGATACACTGTACATGTATAGTCAGCTTGACCAGGTATACTGTAATACAATGAGAAACTGTTAGATACACTGTTCATGCATGGTCAGCTTGACCAGGTATACTATAATACAATGAGAGACTGTTATATACAATGTACATGTATGGTCAGCTTGACCAGGTATACTACAGTACAATGAGAGACTGTTAGATACACTGTACATGCATGGTCAGCTTGACCAGGTATACTATAGTACAATGGAGACTGTTAGATACACTGTACGTGCATGGTCAGCTTGACCAGGTATACTATAGTACAATGAGAGACTGTTAGATACAATGTACACAGTTTTGTACTTTAGTTCTCTATATAGAAGGGATAGATGGACCATTGAGTTCTTTGTAGAACAATGTGTTGATGTTTTTATTTAGATAATCTGTTTATCTTACTCCTTGTGCTGTCATGTATACTTCAGTTGTACACACTTTTATCCTGTATAGATTATAAACGACCCCCTGTGTTCTTGTATTTGATTGGCTGTAAAGATTACAGTTCTGTGTTACTGTATTTGATTGGCTGTACCATGATGTTCTAGCTATAATTATGACAGTGTCATGTTGATTTTGATTGGTTACCAGAGAAAAATGATCTAATCTTTACCTTCAATGACTCGGATCTTGTGTTGCTCTGTTTCTATGCCAGACACTAAAGATTACACTGTAAATTAGTCCTTGTCAAACAAATGATGATCTCCTGTTGTCCATTGTGATCATCTACATGTGTTACCTTAAAATAATTAAGCGTGAAGGTCAAATGTAGCCTACAGCTATGTGTGACTGAAACAACTTTTCTTTAGGGTCAACTTAAGTTTTCAACTAACTGAAATTCCATTTCATGAAGGTCAGTGATCATGATAGATTACAGCTTATACCAAAACAATTCTCAAGAGTCAACTTTATTCTATAGCTGACATTACTGGAAGAACAACTGTATCGTATAGCTTACTGAAACAACTTTTTTGAAGGATCAGCTTGTCTGCTGATATAAAATCTAAGTTTGAGGTTCAACTACCACAGTATATATAGTTTTACAGTTAAATTTCAAGGTTAATTAACATCTCATTTAGTATTTCTGTTATTTTCGTATGTTATTTGAAAAGTGCATGAATATTTACCTTTCTTTATGAACAGACCATCCCAGAATCCCTGAAAGTTAATTTAATAAGTCAGAAAGGAACATTAAGTCTAAAAGTCATATCAATTTTTGTTGGCTTTGTAATGATGTACGCATATAGAGAGTAATATAAAATGTAAAACATCAGATTTTCAGAAAGTGGAATAGAATTCTTAATCCTAACTATAACATGATACATTGTGTTTCATTGGAGCTCACCTTGCCCAAGTGTTAAGTGAACTGCTCTTGTTCATGGTCTGTCGTCAGCTGTTACTGTAAAACGTGCTACTCGCCCTGGGAACTGCAGAAGAGTTTTTTAATCCAACCAGGGGTAAAGGACTGGGCCAAATAGGACAAATAAAGTTGAGATTTTACCTTAATTTGGTCTAAAGTACCATTTAGGGGACTTCATGTTGTATAAATAGATGGTGATGCCTCACAAATAAAATAACCAAATAACAAAACAAAAAACACAACATAAATTTAAGGGTCACATGGGGTCCGCAGTAGTGTAGTGTCAGCAGCTGGATAGTTCGACGATAAAAATACTTACGATCTACTGGACCGAATATGACTGTTTTTGTACTGATCATAATAAAGTATTGTTTGTGTGTCCTCAGAATCAAGGAAGCCCAGACACGAGTAAGACAGCTACAGGAGGGTAAAAAGGTGGCGATCTCTACACAGATCAGGACGCGCTCAAAGAAACCAGGCGGATTAGTAAGTACACTGAAATAAAGGCAACTAGACTAGAGTCTAATTACCAACTCCAATAGACACCAGGGCCTGTATGAAACCTTTTTTGAGACTCAAGCATGGATTTTGTGCTCAGACCAACTTACTTATGACTTGGTAAAAGCATGTAACAGGGTCAAAAAGTCAAGTCTAGGTTTTGAAAATAGTATTAAGCTTCAAATCTCTAACGTCATTACAAGATATGAATTTTTATCAATTTCTAACCAAACAAGAAATCAGGCTTGAGCACAGAATCTGAATTGGAGCTTGAGAACAATTTCATGGATATGGGAGGAACAAGGTGCTGGGTCTCACTCTCAAAGGAGTGCTGGGGTTGGACCGTTGGGGCTACACCCTCTGTCTGGTAATAATGAAGGGACAGACACTGGGACTATGGGCTCTATCTGATGTGTACTCTTGCTCCAGTAGTGCTAAGGAATGAGTAAGTCTGGAGTCTCGGGCCCTGACCACAGTCAGTATGGCTCCAATGGTATCACTCCACGCCTTTCATTTCCACCAAATCGGAGGCTCGCACTTGTTTTAGCAAGTGTAAGAGTAATGACCAGATTAATTGGGTATTATCTTTTCTTTAGAGTTAGAGAATTTTACATTTTTTGTACATGTTATACACAACAGACTTCTATATCCATCTGATATAAAAGAAAACTCTGCGTACACGTAATGCTATTGCATGATAACCTTTTGGTTTGCTCAAGTTTTGTACTCCTCCTTTGCAAGGAGAACTTCAAATAGAATTAAAACTTCATAAAATCTCTGGAATAGATGCAGGTCTTGAGAAATCTATCTATAGCGTAGTTTATAGATTGGTGTGTGGTGCCACAGTTCTGATAGCGCCGCCACCTTCGTTGGATGGAAACTTCGAAAGTTTTGCGTTCTATAATTATAACCCACTTGACATTTATTGCAGTCTAAGTGTTTAATGTCTCAGCATGTTTGAATTTAAGATTAAACTATTAACATTATAGCTATCGTTTTAAAATTGAAGAGTTTATCGTAGACACACTTCCAACTTGTTCTGAGAGTGTCTACCTCCGGCTAGGATTTATAGTTCTCCCGCCGGTTATGGCTGTACGTATCTGTGACCACTGATTCTACGCCTGACAGATAGCAGTACTATCACCAAACTGTCGCAGTAGAAAGGCACATTATTTTCACAATTTTACAGGTTGCCGTATAATAGTTTAGAAGTTGCAGATCTCCCAGAACTAAAACATCCTGTCAGCAAGATTAATGTTCCAGCTTTTGAAAAAAAAAATGAAAGTTTGTGTTTTCTATTAAGAAAATATCACAAATAAGAATCGTCCTATTTGTCTTGTCTATAAGTGTTACCTGTATGTAGTCTAATTCATGTTTGGTCACTACATGAGGAATGGGTTTAGAATGACGACAAAGATCTATTATATAAGTGCTTTTCCATTCTTTGAAAGTAGGTTTTGTCTAGATGATGGATGTCAGAAACAGGTACATGGGGGATCCTTTTTTGTGTTAGAAAACAGGATGTTTCTATCAGTCCTGTTGGTGAGAAAACAGGATGTTTCTATCAGTCCTGTTGGTGAGAAAACAGGATGTTTCTATCAGTCCTGTTGGTGAGAAAACAGGATGTTTCTATCAGTCCTGTTGGTGAGAAAACAGGATGTTTCTATCAGTCCTGTTGGTGAGAAAACAGGATGTTTCTATCAGTCCTGTTGGTGAGAAAACAGGATGTTTCTATCAGTCCTGTTGGTGAGAAAACAGGATGTTTCTATCAGTCCTGTTGGTGAGAAAACAGGATGTTTCTATCAGTCCTGTTGGTGAGAAAACAGGATGTTTCTATCAGTCCTGTTGGTGAGAAAACAGGATGTTTCTATCAGTCCTGTTGGTGAGAAAACAGGATGTTTCTATCAGTCCTGTTGGTGAGAAAACAGGATGTTTCTATCAGTCCTGTTGGTGAGAAAACAGGATGTTTCTATCAGTCCTGTTGGTGAGAAAACAGGATGTTTCTATCAGTCCTGTTGGTGAGAAAACAGGATGTTTCTATCAGTCCTGTTGGTGAGAAAACAGGATGTTTCTATCAGTCCTGTTGGTGAGAAAACAGGATGTTTCTATCAGTCCTGTTGGTGAGAAAACAGGATGTTTCTATCAGTCCTGTTGGTGAGAAAACAGGATGTTTCTATCAGTCCTGTTGGTGAGAAAACAGGATGTTTCTATCAGTCCTGTTGGTGAGAAAACAGGATGTTTCTATCAGTCCTGTTGGTGAGAAAACAGGATGTTTCTATCAGTCCTGTTGGTGAGAAAACAGGATGTTTCTATCAGTCCTGTTGGTGAGAAAACAGGATGTTTCTATCAGTCCTGTTGGTGAGAAAACAGGATGTTTCTATCAGTCCTGTTGGTGAGAAAACAGGATGTTTCTATCAGTCCTGTTGGTGAGAAAACAGGATGTTTCTATCAGTCCTGTTGGTGAGAAAACAGGATGTTTCTATCAGTCCTGTTGGTGAGAAAACAGGATGTTTCTATCAGTCCTGTTGGTGAGAAAACAGGATGTTTCTATCAGTCCTGTTGGTGAGAAAACAGGATGTTTCTATCAGTCCTGTTGGTGAGAAAACAGGATGTTTCTATCAGTCCTGTTGGTGAGAAAACAGGATGTTTCTATCAGTCCTGTTGGTGAGAAAACAGGATGTTTCTATCAGTCCTGTTGGTGAGAAAACAGGATGTTTCTATCAGTCCTGTTGGTGAGAAAACAGGATGTTTCTATCAGTCCTGTTGGTGAGAAAACAGGATGTTTCTATCAGTCCTGTTGGTGAGAAAACAGGATGTTTCTATCAGTCCTGTTGGTGAGAAAACAGGATGTTTCTATCAGTCCTGTTGGTGAGAAAACAGGATGTTTCTATCAGTCCTGTTGGTGAGAAAACAGGATGTTTCTATCAGTCCTGTTGGTGAGAAAACAGGATGTTTCTATCAGTCCTGTTGGTGAGAAAACAGGATGTTTCTATCAGTCCTGTTGGTGAGAAAACAGGATGTTTCTATCAGTCCTGTTGGTGAGAAAACAGGATGTTTCTATCAGTCCTGTTGGTGAGAAAACAGGATGTTTCTATCAGTCCTGTTGGTGAGAAAACAGGATGTTTCTATCAGTCCTGTTGGTGAGAAAACAGGATGTTTCTATCAGTCCTGTTGGTGAGAAAACAGGATGTTTCTATCAGTCCTGTTGGTGAGAAAACAGGATGTTTCTATCAGTCCTGTTGGTGAGAAAACAGGATGTTTCTATCAGTCCTGTTGGTGAGAAAACAGGATGTTTCTATCAGTCCTGTTGGTGAGAAAACAGGATGTTTCTATCAGTCCTGTTGGTGAGAAAACAGGATGTTTCTATCAGTCCTGTTGGTGAGAAAACAGGATGTTTCTATCAGTCCTGTTGGTGAGAAAACAGGATGTTTCTATCAGTCCTGTTGGTGAGAAAACAGGATGTTTCTATCAGTCCTGTTGGTGAGAAAACAGGATGTTTCTATCAGTCCTGTTGGTGAGAAAACAGGATGTTTCTATCAGTCCTGTTGGTGAGAAAACAGGATGTTTCTATCAGTCCTGTTGGTGAGAAAACAGGATGTTTCTATCAGTCCTGTTGGTGAGAAAACAGGATGTTTCTATCAGTCCTGTTGGTGAGAAAACAGGATGTTTCTATCAGTCCTGTTGGTGAGAAAACAGGATGTTTCTATCAGTCCTGTTGGTGAGAAAACAGGATGTTTCTATCAGTCCTGTTGGTGAGAAAACAGGATGTTTCTATCAGTCCTGTTGGTGAGAAAACAGGATGTTTCTATCAGTCCTGTTGGTGAGAAAACAGGATGTTTCTATCAGTCCTGTTGGTGAGAAAACAGGATGTTTCTATCAGTCCTGTTGGTGAGAAAACAGGATGTTTCTATCAGTCCTGTTGGTGAGAAAACAGGATGTTTCTATCAGTCCTGTTGGTGAGAAAACAGGATGTTTCTATCAGTCCTGTTGGTGGGGTTAGCACTCTGTACCATTTTGGACGGTAACACAGTTCATAATTAAGGTATTGTTTATATAACTAGCTGTGGTTTGGGGGAAATTTTCTGTAAACATGAAACTGACATTAATTAGATTTTTGTATTTAAATTTATTTATCAGTCAAAATTAATGTTGATGTGGTTAATTTGTACTTAATACACCATGTGTTATGCTGTCAGTTCCTAGACTATAATAGAACCATTTCATTATAAATACCAAGAGTTATGTGATACGGTGCAGTCAGCTATAGCTGACTGTATATATATATATATAAAGGATTAAATGTCCATGTGAAGTAATATATATATACATATAAAATCATATAAATCAACAGTCTTATACATTGAAAATTTAAAAAAAAAATGCCAAACTTATATGCTAAAAACAAAATGATAAAAAGGAAATAACATACCTTTAATTAAAACAAAAACTCCATTTAATTTCTTTCTTTTTTTCTTCTATCAATTAAACCTTAGTAAGATAGAGTACAAACTTTGTATTGAAAAGTCTACACACCGTCATAATGAAAATAATCATATAGTCTTCTAAGTAATGAATATATTGAAATAAATTATTTGGTCATGAACATTCATACTCTAAGTCTGCCTGCCCTCTTATCCTGAAGAAAACACTTGAAGGTGTGATTGAGACACACACACACACAGACAATTTGAATGATCTGTCATGAAAACCTTCAGGAACAAGCTAACAGAGCTAACTTTCCTTGTATATGTGAGATACTAAGATGGGTAACAAAAACCAGGAAGGGGTGCTACTGTTCCCTTGTGCTAAAGATACATGGACGGGTAGGAAGATGGGGATTTGTGTTGGTAGGTGATAATTTCCTCCTTTATAAGAGATCTAGGGTTAGGTAAAAAGATTGTGTAAGTATTGATGGAGGTAGTTTCCTCTTGTATGAGATATACAGGGATGGGTAGAAAAATCAGGCAAGTTTTGGTGGAGGGTACTTTTCTTTTGTGTAAGAGATA